GAGATGAGGTCTCACCAAGTTGCCCAGGCGGGTCTTGAACCTGCGGGCTCAGGCAATCCGTTCACCTCAGCCTCCCAAAGCACTGGGATTACAGGCTGAGTCACTGAGCCCGGCCAATAATATAATTTCTATGTTTTAGTTATTAGATCAAAAAAAAGGAAAAATATTGAAAATAAGAAGAAATTGAGGGAACAGCAGAAGCTAATAAAGGAAGAAAAAACAAAGAATGCTGCATATAGTGCAAAAATGGAGAATTTGTGAAAGCAAATTCAAGAGATGCCAGAAATTCTAACAAATGTAGAGGAAAAATGCAGGAACAACAGGCTGAATATGAGCACAACTCACTCCCAGAGAACCTTGCAGAAGAGCATTCTAAAGAAAGAAACATCAGAAGTATATAACAGAAAATAAATTTCTATCATACGGCATTCATTGTTTCTTGGCTCTCATAGTTCATGAATAATTATAATTTAATTGGACAATCCAAAAAAAATCTTCCTTCCTTCCTTTCTTCCTCCCTCCCTCCCTTCCTTTTTCCCTCTCTCCCTTCCTCCCACTTTGTCACCCAGGCTGGAGGGCACACTCAAAACCACCACAGCCTTGGCCAGCTGGGCTCAGATCATCCTCCTGCCTCAGCTTTTCAAGTAGCTGGAACCATAGGCTCACACTACCATGCTTGGCTAATTATTATTATTATTATTATTTATTGTAGAGACAATTTATTTTCTTGCCAAGTTGCCCAGACTGGTTTCAAACCCCTGGACTCAGGCAATCCTCTCACCTCCACCTCCCAAGTGCTGGGATTACAGGCATAAGCCACTGTGCCCAGCCAAATCCAACTCTCTGAAGCATAAAAAAGAGAAATTGCCAGAATTTTCTTTTCTTGCTCCTGACCAGAAATACTGTACAAATAATTTATTTGGAAAGTCTCCCAGACCATGCTAAGGAAATGCTTTCATTAAACAAAACTTTGACTGAGTGCTATAGCTCATACCTATAATTCCAATGCTTGAGAGGCTGAGGAAGGAAGATCAGATCCCTTGAGCCTCGGAGTTTGAGGCTGCTTTGAGCTATGATTGTGCCTCTGGACTCCAGCCTAGGTAATAGGGTGAAATCCTGTCTCTAAAACAAAAACAAAAAAGACCAACATTTTCCAGTGATATTTCCTTTCAATTCTGTAGCTTGTCTTCATTGTGCACATGAGGAAACTGAGGATGTCAAAATCAATATGAGACCAGATCAAGACATACTCACCCCTGTCAGGTCCCAGCTCTGCTAGGGAAATAGGCCTGCAGGTGAAGGGCTAATAAACGCAGCCTGATGATGCCAGTGCTGGAAGCAGGGAGCCCCGAGCACTGTGAGAATACAATAAAGCAAGATTTAGTCAAAATTGGGTAGTTCCTTTGGAAAACAACCTCAGAGTTCCTCAAAAGTTAAACATAGAGATACTACATGACCCAGAAATTTCACTCTAGGTATACATCCAGTGAAGGAAACTGCAATATAAGCTGGCAAGGCCCTTATATTCTTTGGCTTATGTTCAAGTAACTAAGCCTACATTTTCCTTTGTTTCCCCTGACCTTTTTTTTTTTTTTTTTGAGTTGGAGTCTCACTCTGTCATCCAGACTGAAGTGCAGTGGCTGCTCCCGGCCACTGCAGCCTCCACCTGCTGGGCTTCGTAGATCCTTCCGCCTCAGCCTTCCAAGTAGCTGGAACTACAGGCGCGCTTTACCACGCCCGGCTAATTTTTTTGATTTATTGTAGAGAAGAGGTCTCGCCTGCCCAGGCGGGTCTCGAACCCGCTGGCTCAGGCAATTCACTCAACTCAGCCTTCCAAAGGTGCGGGATTACAGGCTGAGCCACCAAGCCTGGCTAATGACTACTTTCTATAACTAAATCTTCTCTATAGAATTGACACCAGAATGTATTGATTTGCCTTTCTTTTGGATGACAGGGGACTTACTACTTTGCTGGAAGTTGTAATCTTTCCAAGACAGATATAATACCTACAGTATGTTTGTTCTTTCACATTTTTATGTTTAAACTTTGTTCTATTTGAACCTTGCTAATGGAATTTGGCTGAATTTTACAAGTAATTTTCCCTAAGATTCTTCCATCTCTCACATAGAATTTGCTAATTTCTTTATGGAAAAAAAATGCATTTTTTCATTCAGGAGCATTGATTGAAAACAATTTT